GCACTGCACTATGGACATCTTTTAAATGAATAGATCCAGGCAAGGTTACTTCAATACATTCTTTCCTGGTTCAGGAGAAATCTCAACCCAATTAGCCATAAAAGCCGATCTCAGGAACTTGAAAATTTTGTAAAGGAGAGTCAACATATGAAGTATGAACTGCATTCAAAGCAGAGAACATGGCTAACTTCTATGTACACTTACAAAATTTAACATCCCATCTTCTCAGGGGCACAATTAACAACACATTTCAATTGTTATAATCCAACAATCTTTATTTGGATGAACTACTTGAAGGTAGAAGAACAAGTCAAAGAACAGGAGAAAAGGTAACATAAGCAGCAATACCTAAAATTCACTACTATACCACTTCCTGTTTCCTCAGACTTCATCAGAGGGAGAGTGACCTAACCTCATCTGTTTTCCACAGGCCTTCCTCATACTTGTACCACCTCACCAGCCCTTCATCGGTTCTTGTCCGCTGGCACATGATGCACGAGTCTTGCATGCATGTGAGAAATTCGCGTAACCGAGAAGCTTTCTCATGGATAGCCGGATCGATCTCTCTAATGATTCTTTTATGCTGAGGAGGCGGAGCGGTTTCCATCAGAATGCAATGTGATATATTGAGCACCTCAAGGTGCTGTAAGTTATCTAAGATCAGAATGAGAACTTCCCTTAATAGCGTTGAACATCGAAGACTCAACACTCTTAACTTTGGAAGATAGGTAGCAATGGACGAAGCGAAGAAAAGATCACAGGGACCCATAATCTTGAGTTCACTGAAGTTCTCACAATTCGCTGCGATTTCCTCCAGAAGATACGGCGGATTTGCTATGGTAGGCATTGTCAAGGACTCCAGATGTTTCCAGCCACGGATGGCCTTGATCATTCCTGTTTTCTTGATTCTGTTCCATGCTGGCAGAACGAGTCGTCTGAGTTCAGGGCACCTGCAACAAGGAATGACAGAAGACAGTTATTGAACAAAGTAACCACAGCCACTTATAGCTCAACTGCTTTCAGATATTCTCCAGCAACTCTATGTAAAGATGACAGAATTAAGAGAATACCAAGCAGAACCTCAATCATACATACAATGCAAAAGTTCAAGTTAATCCCTCTAAGTAATCAAGCAATGTTAGCACCAGACAAGAAAGTTTGTCAACAAATCAGCAATCAAGAGAATATTATCTGTTCCTTATGGCATTCAATGTGAAACCTGAAATTACCTTTCAGCAGTGTATGTCAATTGATCATCGCTTATGTATAGGTTGAAATGAAAGATCAAAGTCATTATGTTCCCCCTGCTTAGACTCAAAGAAATCTTCAGCAAACGGGTCAAAGTGGTATCCGATCGCCCATCAACGTAGACAAATGGCTCTAATGGAATCTTGATGAAATTGGATTTTAGCATTGACAAATCAAGTGTTTTCCAAAGAAGCGGATCACAGCAAGCCATACGCCATGTGCTACAAACATGAGCAATGCCAGAAGTTAACTGGAAGATGTCAAGCAACTCGAAAATCTTCACCAAAATGTCTATGTCCAGATCCTCCCATCTCCTTACAGTAGAGTAGCTGTCTTCCATTTTACTAGTTCTCCAAAATTCCGAGTGAACTACAGTGAATCAGTAGATTCAAAACTCCTGCAGAAAAAAAATTGAAAACCAGTAATGAGTTTCAACCATCAAAATGAAAACTATGATAGCAGAACCTTTTTCCTTAAATGTTTTATGCGACTATGGAGGATCTGGACATGGGAAGAGTTTCAATCATCAAAGTGCGCTGACACCCGACATGCTAACAAGTAAGAACTGTTCCTATTGCCTGCAAGAACAAATTCTAAAGTGACAATGGGTGCACAACTTATCTTCCAACATTTCTTGAATCCTAAAAGCAAGAATTTTGAGTGGCAAGAACTCATAAACAAGGGAAAACAATACAATCCATAGCACTACCAGGCTTTTCGCACCACTAGACCCAACAAGAATGAGACTTTAAGTAAATTATGTCTCGTGGAATCTCTATTGTTAACTCCGAATTATTAAGACGGAACGATTGTATCAGTACTTATCGAAAATTCAAAATTTAACAGAAACAATTAGCCTTAACAAATGAAAGATAGCAAAGACACAGAGCACTTTGGTTAAGGCTCGGGGGTTTCAAAAAAAACATCAGAACTTGATCATTACAATTGAAAATTGAAATCTCAAGCGAGTAAGGAAGGAAGGAGAATCAACCAGATTAACAAAAAACAGAGAACCCCTTTGTATAACCCCACCCGCTAACACCCGAAGCCTCTCAAACAAAATTGTGATTCCACATCACAAGATCTTAGAAATGCCCGATCAAAAAGAAACAAGCATCCCGATCAACCAAATTCTTTCAACCCAAGAAACGAAGGGGAAAAAAAAGAGAGGCAAAGAAAAAAGAGAGAAAAATTCGAGCCGAAGCAACAAAGAGTTCGTCATTTCGGACAAAGATCTATCAACCAGGATCCAATTTACACATAAAAAATAAAGATGCAAGAAAAAACGAGGAGAAAAAAGGTATAACAGTACTGGTAAGAGAAAAGAGGGATTAACCTTAAAGACAGAAGATGTCAGCATTTTTGTGGTCGGGAAGGGCGTGAGAGTTGAGTGAAGCAGTATATGAAGAAGGAGAAAAGAGCGAAAGGTTTATGATTTGTTGATGGTTTTTCCCAAAACGCGGAACAGAGGACGCGGAGTCCTAGGGGATTAAGGAATTGACCGAAACAGCCTTTTCTTCCCAATTTGAATCGAACTCGCCCCAATCCACAGAGCTCCCGGTCATGTGACTCGAAGGTCGAAACGCCTCGCTCAGTTATATTTTTTCAACCCTAGAAGGATTACCCAGTTAAAGGTCACAAGGGACACGGATGCAACTCAGGTTACTAACCGTGGACAAAAGTACAACCGCCATGGGACCCCAAATTCGACAGGGTGGACATGGATATGAGCTGACGTGGACGACAACCCAAGTTCCTTTGAATGTGATCTAGCATAGCTTGAAATCCAGAGAAGGGCACGTCTGAAACTATCGAGGTCAAAAAGTGAAGATTCCAGGGATCTTTGCTTGCAAAGGAATCTGTGTAGCGGTTTCAGATTCATGTGGTACAAGAACAGAGCCTCTTTTTTTTTTTTGTAATAATAATCCTCTTCATCCTTATTGTCCAAGTCGTAATATGGTTAATCTGATCTGCGTGTGTGCGCTTTGCAGATGAGCAAGAATTTAGAGACTTGTCCTCTAAATTCCTCAATGATTTGCTTTGGAGATCATTTGACACCTTGGCGAACAATTCCCACAAGAGAATTAAGATATTTTCAAGCATATTTAATATTATTTTCCCTTTTTATTAGAAGAGCTAGTTTGACTTTTAATTTGACTCTAAGTATAACATCCCAATTCATTTTATCTTTTATGTTTATTTATTTTTTTTCAAAATAATCTTTATAATAGTTGCACATATTAAAAATTCTATTATTCAATTGTAGTTCTAACAAATACACATGACTAATAAGAGTATTATAAGAAATATAACATATTTTTACTATAAATAACTAATTTAACAAACTTTCTTAATCTACTCAAATTAGTCAACTAATTCTTATATTAAGGATTAGAGGTAGTATAATTTGTAGTCTCTCAAATTTTTATTCATTTTGGTTTTAATCTTCAAATTTTAAACTATAGGTTTTGACACTTCAAGTTTTTTTTTTTATTTAAAACATCGGTCCTGTACTTCAATAAAAATCTAAAACATTTTGCCATTCGAGGAATCATAACCTCTAGTTTGAAACTTAAAGGATTAAAATCAAAACAAGAACAAACTTGAAAGACAAAAAATTATATTAACCATTTTTAAAAATAAAATGTAATTTAATTATCTTTTATTTTATTTAGAGTGACGCAACAAAATTAGTTTAAGTGTGTTAAATAAGAGCCACGTCATCATTAATTATTAATACTACCTCTGACACTTAATATAAAACCTAGCTGGCTAATTTGAAGAGATTAAGAAAATTAATTAAGTTAGTTATTTATATTCCTTCGGTTCTTAATATAAAACCTTTTTAACTAATTTGATTAGATTAAGAAAGTTAGATAAATTAGTTAATTATAAGAAATATGATATGATTTTTCTAAAACGCATAATCATCTTTCTTAATATATTTTCTTCCTCACTTATTCACTTATGTTTGAAGAAGTATCCATATAAGTAATTTAGGAAAAATTAATAAATATGAGAAATAAGTCTTATATTTAGGAGCAAAATTAACTTAACAATTAGGTCATATAATAAGGACTGGAGAAGTAACAAATAAATGTTATCTTTCTCAAAATGCCTTTACTAATTAAGTATATTAACTAAAACTATTATTTAATGAAACTTTTAACATGTATAACTAATATAAGGACTGCTTTGAAACAAATGGATAAATATAAAAGATAAAAATAGATTAAGATCTTATATTTAGAATCAAATTAAAAGTTAAATAAGCTTTTAGGAGACGACCTTACAAATTATCCCTCCGGTCCTTAATACAAGACATATTTAACTAATTTGATTAGATTAATGAAGTTAGGTAAGTCATTTAATTATAAGAAATGTGATATATTTTTTTTCTTCTAAAATACCATAATCATCTTTCTAAATACCTCATATTCTTCTTGTACTTGATTATGGTTAAGAGAGTATTCATAGGAGTAATTTAGAAAAAATAATAAATATGATAAATAGATCTTATATTTAGAATCAAAACCAACTCAATAATTGAATCTTACATTATCCTGGATAGGTCGAGTAATATTTATAATATATGCATACTATAAAAGGAAAAATCTGCTCATTTCAGCATCTCTGTGATTTGACAAGAAAACGACGTCGCTTTCAGCTGGTCGTCCTCGACTCGCGAGGGGGAGCCTGGTTCCGACTTTCGAATTCGAAGCCTGCCCCTGCAACTTCAAACTCCAGGTTCTTTCATTTCTATCGGTCCATCCTCTCATAGATAGTCTTACAACGTCTGGCTCTCTCTCTCACTCGCTTTTCCTCATGGGTGTGAAGCATTTGTGGGATATACTCGAATCCTGCAAGAAAACAGTTCCACTTCACCATCTCCAGTAATCAATTCCCTTACTTTCCTTTACTTTCTCTCTCATGTTCTTTTTTTTTAAATTCTATATGACTTCATGTGCTTGTGCTGGAATTGGATTCTAGGAACAAGAGGATATGCATTGATCTCTCATGTTGGATAGTTCAACTTCAGAATGTGGGCAAATCAATCTCATGTGTGAAGGAGAAAGTCCACCTCAGGGGTCTCTTCCACCGCATTAGAGCGCTCATTGCTTTGAATTGTAGCCTAATTTTCGTTACAGGTGTGTTCCTACGTATTTTGTTGTTTACCTTGTTGCTTTACTCTTCCAGTTATCACCTATTACAGTTGTGTTATAGTAGGTTTGAAAAATATGTTAAAAAAGTTTTCAATTTTAGTGCATAAGAGTGACGTTCTAAAGTCTAAACGTTCATCATAGTAGCCAAGAAAACTGAAACCAGAAAATCTCTGCTGGTAGAACTAGAACGTATTTGTGCAACCTTAAATTTTGCGTCCATGTGGGATTTTCACGAAAGCAGGCCTTAGCATTTGCACACTCGAATGTGGGGTGGTACGCATAATATCCTTATCTAACCCAAGGGCCGTCCCGTAACAAAACTCACTGCGGCTCTTTAAATGAAGGACTTATTCTGAAAATTCCACTGACACTTAGAATCATGAACTTCTTTGGTCGCATCTAAGGCCCACGTCCTGTTGCTGATCCGACTTATCTTAGTATTGGAAAATTCCAGTATATGAATCAGTTTCATGCACACCTGTTATGAGGCTTTGGACTTCAGATTTATCGTCCATGTACATGTTCCTTTTCTTTACTTAATTACAACGTCTCTTTTACTGGTCATTCTGCGCTTTTTGAATCTTGTTGTCTTGACAGTATCCAGCCATATCCGTTCACATATTCTGATCTTTGCTATTTCTCAGATGGATCAATTCCTGCTATTAAATTATCAACTTATAGGCAACGATTAAACTCTGGAAAAGATGTAAGTAGCATTTACTTCCTATGTGTTCATTTTTCTTATATGTTGCCTTTTTGTTTTCTCACTTTCCAATTTTACGAACTTTAGTCAATAATGATGTAGGTAACACAAAATGGAAGCAACTTACAGAAAATGTCTTCTTTACCGAGGAACAGGGGATCTGAGTTTTCATGCATGATAAAAGAGGCTCGCATCTTGGGAATGGCCCTCGGCATTCCTTGTTTGAATGGGTAATTACCATTTAAAGTTAGGTTCAATATCTTGTTTTTAATGATGATAAATATAATAGCTTGATATTGATGACTCCAAAATTGCTTAAGTATCCAGGTTGGATTAGTTTTCATTTGTATATTGTTGTGCGCGGGAGTGCACTGATTTGTTATATTGTAAGAGACGAAAGGAGCAAACCTATTGAGTATGATATCCTTGTTTAATGACATGGTCCAATAGTTGGACTGCATGCTACTAATAAAAAATAAAAATTAAATTATTCTAAGTCTTAGCAATATATTGGAGGAATCAGAGTTTATCAATGATCAATATATTGCTTATGAAAGCACCACCAACTCTTAGGACTAAGGAGTAGCTACTTCTTGTCAGACAGTGAACATAAAAGTGTTACTGCACTAATGCAAACTACTAACATTATTAGTCTTTTGCTAATCCAGGATTGAAGAAGGTGAAGCTCAATGTGCTTTGTTGAACTCCGAATTATTGTGTGTAAGAAGAATCAATTGCCTGCAAATTATTCTTTGCTCTCAATTTGGAAATTATTGTTATTTGTGTAGTGTTTCTACTAATGGCTAGGCTAACCCATTATCAATGTTGGTTCATTCATTAAGAATTGTGGTTACTTTTAGGATGGATGTTTCAGTTCAGATTCAGATATATTTCTTTTTGGTGCAAGGACAGTGTATAGGGATATCTGCCTTGGTGAGTAGATCTGTTTTGAATCATGTCTACGTTTGTTTTGTTTTGATTTTATTAACACTAACTACTGCAAGGAACCATTTACTGATGAATTAGGAGATGGGGGGTATGTTGTTTGCTATGAGATGGAAGACATTGAAAGAAAACTTGGATTTGGAAGGGATTCATTGGTAACTTTCTGTTGTCTTTTTAAATACATGGTATTTTCTTTTTAGGCATATATAGATGATCTTTCATTGTTCAGTCAGTATGTTATCTAATCTTACATTCAGTTAGGTTTGTGCGTGTCAAGGTTGTGGAGTAGTTAGGTCTAGGAAGGTCTGCCAATGTTAGCTTCTCGGTTCATAATATCCTGGCACTGGAAAGAAATCAGTTAAAACAGAAGTTACCCTATTGTGGAACCATTTTGTGTAGTTTAGTTATACCAAGGAACTTATTTTCAATGGTTTCCTCTATTGTTTGAATTGATTTTCCTTGTAGAAACTTAAGCTGAATCCAGTATCATGCATGTATCCATGTATGCATATGATTGTTCTTCTTTTAGTAAATTTTAGTCCTAAATTCTTAAAGTATTTTATATCTTTTGTATCTTCTTTTACTAAAATCAGTAGTGTTTCCATCTTATGAAGAGTCGTACTATCTTGAATTGTACAATCAGTCCATGTTCCCATTCTGTAAATAATTCAATTTTAGGGGATTGGGTTTACTTTTGGGCAAAATAACCATTGGTAATGTGACCTTGAATCTTCAGATTGCTCTTGCCTTACTTCTTGGAAGTGATTATAATCAAGGAGTCTATGGTCTAGGTCCGGTAAGCATGAATCCTACCATTGTTCATGGTCACACAGTACCTTTCTGTCTATTCCCTCTGTTCTGTTTGTTGCTTATGACCTTGCGATAATTTGATTACGGATTGTAGGAGTCAGCTTGTCAGATAGTTAGATCTATTGGTGACAAACATGTGCTCCAAAAATTTGCTTCTGAAGGAATTGAATGTCTGAAAAGACTGAAAGGTGCAAAGAAGCAGGGACAAGTCTTGAAGGACAACAACAAAGAAAATATGTTGGACCATGATATGGCATTGAGTCATGGTAAAGCATTTATATTGCTACTAATCCATGGCCTGCAATTTGCACAAATGTAATTTTCTTCAAGATTTCTGCAACAGATTTATCCATATTCAGTTTCATGTCAACAAATACTTGAATTAGAGGTAAACCTCTAATTTTGGATAGTTTGTAACAAAACAAAGTGTCGAAAGTATATCTTCCGCATATACTTTTTGGTAAAGGTCTCTTTTTCTCCAAAAATTTATGTCGTAACTGGTCAGAGCTTACAAACATATTAATAGTTTGTCCCATTCATTGACACTTTTTTCTTAAACATTATTAGAATGAACATGTTTTATATATTGATTTGCCGTTAATGAAATTTTCTTTAATCGTGTGGAAGCTTGTCAGGTTCAAATCTCTGTTTCTATCTTTTTTGTACACGCAGGAGGCGGGAACAATTCGCAGAGAGATTATAACTTCTTGCAAGTTATCAATGCTTATGTAAAGCCGAAATGCCACCCTGTGGATTCTGATATTGTGATGAGGTAATTTTACATTAGTTTAGTGTACTGAGACTTATGTTGCCTGGTTCATTATAATATAACATACCTCCGGTCCTAAATGAACTTCATCAAAAGTGGCTATATAGTGACGTGTATCAATTGAATGTGGAATCTATCAATAAAATTATATATTTAGCGGATGAATGACTCTCTCTGTAGGGTTCTTGCTCAGTATCCATTTCAACGTAGTAAACTCCAGCAGATATGTGCTGAATTCTTTCAGTGGCCTCCGGAGAAAACAGGTTCTTCAACTGCTCTTGCATGCTTCATCCTGTCGTTTTTTATTTAGATAGTACCTCTGAACGGCTGACTCTCATATTGTTGTTTAGAGTTTTAGAATTATATTAAATCCCTCTTTCGATCAAAATTCTTGGTAACTTAAATATCAGCAATGGCAATACCAGCTCAGTAATTTTTGGAAATAATTTCAACTTGTGATTTTATTGATGGTTATTGTTATAGATGAGTATGTCCTTCCAAAGATAGCTGAAAGGGATTTACGGCGATTTGCCAATATGCGCTTAACGTCATCAGAAGTAGGACTGAATCTTCCTTTGAATGAGGTACTGCTAACCCTTGCCACTAATCATCATCTACTTCGGCTGGCAATATAACTGCCTTTTAACTTTTTCATTATATGCAACAATGACTCTTTGATTACTGCCTTCTCTGTTTACACTACCTGCAATATGCCCTATCACAGATCCCTGTAAAGTGTCCGGTCTCGGAAATCATTAAGTGCCGAAAAGTTCAAGGAAGAGAATGCTATGAGGTGTCATGGAATGAAATGGATGGACTTGGAACTTCAATAATACCGGCAGATCTTTTAAAAAGGTTAGTTTTCTAACTAAAATATAAAACTGTATGAATTTCCAGTAATTACATGGAAAGTGTATTGCTTATTGTGTTAATAACTTTCTATCATGACTCATCTCCAGTGCTTGTCCTGAGAAGATTTTGGAGTTTGACGAGAAAAAAGGTCTGCTTAAGAAACAAAATGCTCAAAAAAGAAGACCAAAGAAAACTGAAACTGCATCTTCTATGGCTGAACTTGACCTGCAACTTACGAATCTATCACTGAATATCGAGCTGGGAGACCACGCCAATCACAATGCCTCCGATTCATCAGAACAGGTCTTTCAAGATGCATCTGCCGTGGATGAAGCTTATCTGAATAACAGAGACTTGTCAAGTTCATCACTTGATGAACAGATCGAATGGAATCAAAATGTGAGAAACACATCTGACGGTCAGCAGAGTGATTCCGTGGCTAAAAATGAGGTCATTGATTTACTGAGTCCTTCTCCAACTAAGCAGTTGTATGCTTCCTCCAAGTGTCAACAATTTATTGGTGAACACGTTGAGGTTATAAATTTGAGTGAATCAGAGAGTGACACGTCACCTGAACATAAGAGGAAAGCAAAGGAGCTGAGAATGTTCTTAGCGGGAATTAAGAATGACCTCCATTGAACTGCCACATCTGTAACATGGTGTAAGTTTCAGTGCGTTCTTGGTGTAATTAAAATTGGAAAAAAAAAAAGAAGCAGCAGCCATTGTAATTTGAAGAGCTTGATTAGTTTGCTGGAATTTTTATATTCAAAACGGCATGCCAGTCTCTGCTCTGAGACATGATAGATTGATCGAAAGTTAAATACGATGCAAAGTTTTAAGTTTGGAGGGATATAAGAAGAAAGAGGCGTGAGATAAATGAGACCGGTTAAACTCCCTGTGTCTTTCTTTCATTCTTTTGTGGGACTTGTAGAATCATTTGATGATTATTTATTTTTTTATACGGATAAGTATCTTTTTATTGGAGCGAATAATATTCGAAGCATTATCAAGTACTAAATATAGATAATTACCTCATTAGGTACTTGACATAATCCCTAAATACCTTTCATGCATTGTTTTGGTGACATTAAAAAGTATGAGACAAGTGCCTCATTTTACTTGCAAAATTGAGGAAGAAGCGTAGCATAAAAACTCCCATTCTTAAAACAGATTCCAAGATTACACTTCCAGGGTAAGCAAAAGCGGAAGTGTTTTTAACTACTAGAAAAAGCGAAATAGTTTTAGGAGTCACTACTACTTTTATACGCTAGATCAAATATTTACTTGTGCAGTTCGATATTTCTTTTTGGAAAAAGAACAGAATCTGTTATGCACAAGAAAGCATAGTGCCATAGGTCTGCGGAGCTATGGGCGTGCTTGCATGGACTTTAATATTGCCTGGGATACCGGATGTAGGAAGGTGATGTTGGAAGCTGATTCGTCCAATGCCATAGATCTGCTGAATACTGAGTATGATGAGAACCATGAGGATGGGCAGATTCTGAATGAAGCTTGTGCGATTTTACAGCGAGTGGGAGATCCGCATTGGCCATACTAAACGGAAGTGTAATGCAGTAGCTGACTACTTTGCAAAGCAGGGCCTAGAAACAACTGGGACCTGAATGTAGCTTACTGTGAAAGAAGGATTTTCATTCATACTAAAATTTAAAAGATCATTTTAGTATTAGGTTATTCATTAAGTTATATTTTAATAATTGCTGAAATTAAATGATAGTTGTGAAAATTCAGAGAAACTTGCGCAAGTAATCTATTTGTCCTTGTACATCCAAAAAGTTATTACATATTCAATTTTCCAAAATCATTTTCGAGGAGGAAAAAAACAGTTTCCAAACAGAAATTATGATCAATCATTATTACTTAAAATCAAAGTCACTAAAAAAGTTTCGATTGTACAAAATCTCATTTGCCAAAAACAAGCACCAAGACCATGATGCACACATTTCCCTTCGAATTTCTGACTTTTTAATTATTGTTTTCACATCAATAGTGTAAAAGCATGGAAGTGAGACTTGAATATATTTCATTCTTAGTTGGCATAAATTGATTTTCATTACATGACATGAATTAGACACTGACCCCAAGCAGAAAGTCGAAAAGCCCATAGAACACACAAAAACCCATTTCGGGCGAAATATTATATACAACGTCTACGGCTGCAGGACTGCTTCTGAACCCTCAACCCTGCCTCCGCGCATGTCAATCATATGTCTCATCTCACTACTAAAAATTGCATTTATCTGAAAAGGCAAAGGGAGAAACTTACTAAATCACTTTGTTGCGTCGATATTTCGTATTATATCCGACTCCAACCACAAAAATATGAAGTAGCCAGTGACAGGAAAAACAAAGGACTAACTTCAGTGCAGATAATGAATATCTCACAAAGAGACCAGAGTCAAAATGTCTAAAATGATTACTCTTACCGTAAAGGAAATAACTCCCTCGTTTTCAAGAAGAAAGGGCAGCCATCGAGATGCTAACAATATCCATAATGCAATAATAATTCTGAATTTTTTTTTTTAAAAAAAAGGTAATTTCACCTGGTAACAATTCCTTTGCAGTGCTTCTAGCATGCTCCACATACTGGAAGCTTTCTGCAAGATCATCCTCTTGAAATGCAGCCTTTAAGTCTGAAAAGAATTCTTTGAAAGTGTTAATGAACTCCTGACAAGAACCATCTCGTGGCTGAGGCATAAGTTGCAGTGCTTCTTGCTCTTTCTCAATCACCGTTGTATCAACCGGCAGATCTTTTCCAGATCTACTATGTATTCTACTGTTTACTACTGCCTCTAATCTAGAAGCCATAACAGTTGCTCGACTAACACAACGTGAAGGAAGCTGAAAAGCAAAATGTAACCATTTTTTATTAAATAGTATTCATTATATTAGCAAATACAATAATGGAATCATTAAAGACCTCAGCTGACAAATACAATTTATACAAATGCCAAGGCATATCCAACATACCTAGCTCTCGTGTTTGTTAGCAAATATTGAACTACATATATAAGATGCTGATGGAATCACATGTTCCATATTTTATTGCGACATAATGTAGGTCTCACATTGGCTGAATCTCAAGTTCAACCTTCACACACACACACACACACACACACAACAAAAGCCTCCTTTTTCAGAAATGGCCCTTCCAGAGCATTCTCTCATTCTTTTATTTGTCACAGAAACAATCAACTCTCAAGTCAATTGCCCAAGCAAAAGTGCAAAGTAATATATGGATTGAGATTCTACCTGTGCAAGCTGCGCCACCTTAAATCCAAAACTCTTCTCTGAAATACCAGAGACGAGCTTGTAAAGGTAAGTGACATCTTCATGATCTGAGTTGAAGGTTTTCCTTGTGCCATCAGCTGACGTCAAATAGGATACATGGTATGCAGCCACAGAACCAGGAAATTCCTTTATAATGTCAGCAATCTTTGGGAAGTGTGTGACAAAAAGGACCATGCATTTTTTCTGCTCCAGCAGATAATGCAAAGTTGCATAAGCAATAGCCATGCCATCATGAGTACTTGTTCCTCTCCCTAGCTCATCAATGATAACAAGTGATCGTCCTGTGCAACTATGAAGTATATGCGAAGTTTCACTTAGCTCTTCCAGGAAAGTGCTTCTCCCTAGCTGAATACTATCAGAAGCACCCATCCGGGTGTAGATCCTGTCCATGACATGTAGTTTTGCAGATGACGCTGGGACAAAGGAACCAACCTAGACATATCAGGACATGTTTCAATAAAGCAACAGCCATAGGGGGTGAAATTATGTCGTCTTCATCAGAAGCATTCATATTAGAGAAATGCAGCACATGGTTGCAAAAATGTAACAGACACGTATACTTGATTATACCTGAGCCATCAAAGCAATCAGAGCGACCTGGCGAATATAGCAGCTTTTGCCCCCCATATTGGGTCCAGTAACGATCTGACAGTACTGTCTGTCTGCATGCATATTTGTATCATTTGGGACGAAATTGTCTTGTAAGGTAATGTCCAAGACCTGATGAGAAATGCCTCACAATAATGACTCTCGGGCAATCAGCAATGGAGTAGGTCAAATTGACAAAATAAAGGCTTAGATGAACATCCCATAAAATATCGCATTACATAGACTTCCCTCAAAATTACACAGACGTATCCTAAAACCATGTCATTCTACTCTTTAGTGTCGTTTTCTTGTTCTTTAATTAAAAACCCGCTGTCAGGAAAAAAAGGTTAAAAAGTGAAGGGTATTTTGGTCAAAAAATTGAAGTGTAGTATAATTTTGTTTTTAGTTCCTGGGAAGTCACTGCCCATTTTGAAAATAGAGACAGGTCAATTTAATTTCAACTATTCAAGGTAAACCATTTCAACTGCATTTGCAATTATCAAATGGCAATCTTTTAGTCTCAAGCCCCAGCCCAATGGGGAATCCTACAAGAGCTGACAAATGACAACCAATTTGAAAATGAAAAAGGACGACAAATGGTTCGATTATCATGATAACAAAAATTCGCCAAGAACTTAATGCTATTTGATAACTTCCTTGTCAAATAAAATCGACAACATCATCAATCAAGAATATGTTCCTTTGGGCTTAGATCCAAATGCTTGTACATTGCTGAAGCTCTTGGCAGTTGGTAATAATATCTCAATTCAACCCCATATACCAGTAAGAACATTCATGAAATCCGAACTTGACAGATTGAGCAAGAGTTCCTCAGCTAAATCTGAGTGATGTGCAAAATACAAATACACACGCACATGCACACCCACACATGAAAAAAGTGAGTTTGCAACTCAATCTAGGTATTAATGTGAATTTTGTAAACATATTCAAAAATCCATAGGATTCATACCGGATGTCGACCAGAACAAATTTGTATCTGAGAAGGTTCATTATTATCAACGAATACTGGGCGAACATAATTCTGCCACAGATAAGTTTTGAGAGTTATGCGACAGATTCTCCACAAATATCTGGAGGCACTTGAAAAGTTCTCTGAGAGCAAACCTTATTTCTTGAAAGAATGGCAAGAGAATGGAGACAATCTAGGGCAGCTAGTGCTTGAACACAAGCTTGAAACTCCACATAGTGTTTACCAAAACCCATCAGAAAGCTATTCCAAGCAGCTCGACAGACAACAGTGAGTTCCTCTTTTGCTAATGATAACTTATCCAATGCTGCTAACACTTCAGGGGGGTGATAACGGATTGTTTTCTTTGTACTACTTATCTTAACCCAGTTTGAAGGTACCTTCACATCTGTGGATAACTTTAGCCAAACAAATCACAACAATTATAATTATTCACGACCAAGCATTAAACTTGTGAAATCATATAATAATTTCAAACTAACTTGTCGAGTCCAAAAGCCTGATATTAATATTTTCAAGTTTATAAGAAAAAAGTACAATAATAATCAAAACACTTGCATAATGTCATCTCACAATTTGACACAGACCATAATCCATATAATCAATAGTAAAAATACATAAATAAATAAATAAAGATATTAGCAGCAGGCTTTACAAATAGACCTTCCTTCCTCGTCTTGGGGGAGAGGACAGGATGGAGGAAAGAGAGGTACCAAGAGGGAAAAAAATAAAAAGAATATACGTTAATTACAAGATAATCAACAAAGATGCCCAACTATTCCTTCTGTTTATAAATGTGAACCACACAAATTGAGAAACAGTAAACATGATATAACATCAAATCCTACTATCACCCAAAATTTAAAAAAAA